CCCCAAAACCCCAAAACCCCAAAACCCCAAAACCCCTTCTAATCTTTACAGTAATGAAAATTAATATAAAAATGGATCAACCATCTCCTCTTCTTCAGTCAACAGGAATCCTGTTGGAGATCTTCACATTCTTGGACTGGCCTGAACAATTACGGGTGAGTCGATGCTAAAAAGAAAAGGTTAACCTAGCTTCTTAGGAAATAGCTCAATCTCACATTTTAGTATGCATATCTTATTCAATCTTTTGGTGCTAGTATTTAACAAAAGTATAATAACCTGACCATAAAGACAGTTTTGAGCTTAATAATAAATAAATTAAAAGCACTTTATCAAATTCGCCACAAACAATCTAAAAAGAATCTCTAGATTTATGCTAAATCAATTATTTAAGTTCTAATCTTTCTCTAGTTGCAACTACTATGAAAATCTATTTACAACAGAGTGATGCCATTGCTAACTCATTCGAACAAACTTGAGCCAATACCCAGGTTCCTATCGATCCATAAAGATTGACTCTACAACGTCAGTCTGGGAGAAGGCTTTCCGTATAAATATGGAATGCTGAAATTAGAGTAAGATTTTGATCCATAATAAGTTAATGTGTTTAGACAAGCAGAGAATGAAATAGGAGACCATGTAACAAAAGATTTCTCCATGTAAACTTCATCACAATCTTTAGGTCTAGAACTATGATGATCTCTTACAATAACTACCTATATTGGTGAGACTATGTGGTTAAGGTGTAGCTTTGGGCATTCAGAGAAGTACTTTGAACCCGGCCAAGGAATTTCCCAATCTGTATATAGAATAGATTCTTTCTCATTAAAAATTGAGTAATTTGGGTTTGATATTTACTTAGAGAAATGCAGCCAATGCCAGAGCCATTTCATAGAAGCACTTTGGTCTACAATGACAAAGGTAATAAATAAGCATACTTTTAGACAAAGTATGATACTTCATTGGTGGGGTTGACTGAGACTGTCTCAGTCTCAAATGTGTATTTGCATACTCTTTTGAGAACAACACCTGGTATACACTCCCAGAGATGAGCCAAGCTAAGGACTTCGCAACATGAATGTTTCTCAAAAAGTATGGGCCTTCTTAATATTAGTTCTATCTATGTGTTCACTGGGCTTCAGAATTATATCGAACAAGGAGAAATCAAATCAAAGGTGAATTTTAGTAGAAACTTTAGGTGTGAAAAATCTATGAAAGATATAACCTAGAGACTAAATAAATGGGAGGAAATCACACCAACTCCTTGTAAGTTGAATTGATATCATTCTTATAGGGTACCTCGATGCAGTATTCGGCAAAACAGCTTGCTTAGTATCTATCAATGAAAAGAGTATCTAAGATTCCTAACCTCTTTAGGGAATTGAATCATCACCATCTGAGGAAAAGAAAGTATAATTTTTGTCATAAGAAATTAGATGGAAAAGCAACCCATAAGATTGCAATAATAGATATTGGTATACTCAAGATAAACCTATAGATTTCTTTGAATATGTCATTGAACAAATGAAGGATTCTGCTTTAGCAGAGATACTTGAAAAGGACACATTTTTATCCAAGCTAGAGGCAGATTATTGTTTCCCAAGTCAGGCGATCCCAAACAACTACCATCCGATGAATTTTCATTCAATAGAATACTTCAGAATCCATCTATCTAAAAGAGATTTGTACCAACACCCCCAAATAGTTTGGATAGGGGATACTTTTTACGTACAAGGAGAATATAGTCTGAAGGCTATAACTCTCACAGAAAAAGCTTGGCTAAAACACACAATCAGAAAAGGGATGTACGTTGTACCCATTCGTAGAGACGAAAACATTATCTCTATTACTGAAGATGGTATTAAAGGTCTAGCTCACCTCAAGTGCCATTATGAAACATATTTACAAAAATAAAGAGCCACCAAGATTGATTATTTTTGTATTTCAATTAATCCATGCTTATTAGGGGTTTTGGGGTTTTGGGGTTTTGGGG